TGTGGGTGCCCCCACCCTCTGGAACGAACTACCCCCCGAGATCCGGACGATTCCGGATCTCTTAACCTTCCGCCGCGCCCTCAAGACATGGCTTTTTCAACAAGCGGGCCTGACCTAGGGTGAGTTTTAAATAGGGACAATTTTTAAACGATTTTAAAGAGCCACAGCTACCAATATTTGGGTTTTAATTGGTTTTTAGTAGGGGAAAATTTTTTTTGTACGATGTTTTAATATGCTGTGAGCCGCCCTGAGTCCCATGGGGAGAAGGGCGGCATATAAATTTTGTAAATAAATATAAGTGCGTCCTCACTTTCGCAAACAGCAGGTGAGTGGGCACACGCATGCTTCATTGAGAGGCAGGTGTGCGTGCAAATGGAGTTGTGCACGTGCTTGCCTGCCACTCATGCGGAACCAACCCTTCTCCCCACCCCCCAGACTGCAAAATCGGAAACGTTGGGAAATTCTGTCATTGGAAACTGCTTTGTACATAAACAATTTTTATATAATAAAATTTAATAAAATATTAATTTAATTTAATATTAATAAATTTTAATAAAATATTACACAGATAGATAATAGATAAGGTAGTTAGCTAGCTAGTTAGATAATATAGATAAGCTAATTAGATGTGTGTGTGTCTGTGTGTGTCTGTGTGTGTGTGTGTGTGAGAGAGAGAGAGGGGGGGGGGCTTTTGGGGTCAGTCTGTTTATGAATATTTTATTGATTATAAAGTCCCAAAAGGTTGGGACAACCATGGCCTGGATGATTGAGAATCTCCTCAGGCATTGATTGTAAAGATTAACTATTAGTATTATTAATACACAATACTAATTTTCTTTATTAATATCCATCTTTGAATTTTTCTTCCCTCTCTTCCTTTCACCCTTTCCCTTTTTAGTATAAGAAACCAAAGTAAAGGAGAAACAGTTGGTGGAGAAACCAAGATTTTTTCTTAAAGCAATTAGACCGAAGAAACCAGTTTATAACAGTAGCCAGTTCACTGGAAGAGAAGAAACTCAAATTCAGCCAACTTCTTTTTCTATTGAAGGTCAACCTTTAATAAATAAGGGACAAGGTGTCTAGAGCAACTGATCTTTAGTAATTGAATTTTCTGAGCTGAAATAACATGGCCTGTGCAGGGCTTGGAGCAGGAGTCATCATGAGGTTGCATTTCCACAAGACATATTGCATGTTCCCACAGGATTGCTCTGTTATATGTTGCTAGCATGCAGGAAGATGGATTAATTTTGGACCAAGGGCTGCTCTTTCCCTGGAAGCTATAATAAAACCAAGTTTTGATTTGCCTCAACTGCTGCTGATTTCATCACTTGGATACTCTGTGGCATACATTCATCCTTCCCATTCACCTCTGTAGAATACCCAGTTTAATATTTTTTTTAAAAACAAATGGCAGAAATAAATTCTCATTTTTCTTATTTTTTGAATAAATACTGTTGATGCTGAGAAATGAAGTGAATCCAGGAGAATGTGAGTTCTAGCCCCACCTTAGACATGAAAGCTGGCTGAGCAATTTGGGCCAATAATCAGGAGACGACGAGTTCGAATGCCGCCTTAGGTGTGGAAGCCGACTTTGGACCAATTATCAGGACACCGTGAGTTCTAGTTCTGCCTTAGGTATGAAAACAGGATGGGTGACTTTGGGCCAATCTCTCTCTTTCAGCCAAACTCAACTCACAGGGTTATTGTTGTGGGGAAAATTGGAGGAGGAAGGAATATTAGATATCTCAGGGGCTGCCACAAAGAAGAGGGAGTCAAGCTCTTCTCCAAAGTGCCTGAAGGCAGGACAAGAAGCAACGGGTGGAAACTAATCAAGGAGAGAAGCAACCTAGAACTAAGGAGAAACTTCCTGACAGTTAGAACAATTAACCAGTGGAACAACCTGCCTCCAGAAGCGGTGAATGCGCCAACATTGGAAGTTTTTAAGAAGAAACTGGACAGCCATTTGTCCGAAATGGTATAGGGTTTCCTGCCTGAGCAGGCGGTTGGACTAGATGACCTCCAAGGTCCCTTCCAAGTTTATCATTATTATTATATATGTTTGCCACCTTGAATTATTTAAACAAAATAATGAAGGTGGGATAAAGAAAGGAAAGCAAAGAAAAAAGGAAAGGGAAAAAAGGAAGGGAAAGAAAAATAGAAATGGAAAAGAAAAGAAAAAGAAAAGAGAAAAGAAAGGAAGAAAAAAGAAAAGAAAAGTGGATGCTCAGCAGTGGATGCTCCCTGGGTGACCTTCAGCTCCTTATCTCTTTCAGTCCAACGTACCTCTGGGTGGGCATAGATCACCCAAATTGGTTGCCACAAAGAACAGGGAATCAACCTATTCTCCAAAGCGCCTGAAGGCAGGACAAGAAACAATGGATGGAAATTAATCAAGGAGAGAAGTAACTAGAACTAAGGAGAACTTTCCTGACAGTGAGAACAATTAACCAGTGGAACAACTTATCCCAAAGATGCTTTTTCAGGAGGCAACTGGACTTTCTTGTTTTTTTTCTTTGAAGACGTTTTGCTTCTCATCCAAGAAGCTTCTTCAGCTCTGACTGGATGGTGGGGAATGGAAGGATTTATATTCCTCGCAGACAGCTTTCATTCCCCACCATCCAGTCAGAGCTGAAGAAGCTTCCTGGATGAGGAGCGAAATGTCTTCAGAGAAAAACAAGGAAGTCCAGTTGCCTCGTGAAAAAGCATCTTTGGGACAACCATGACCTGGATGACTGAGAATCTCCATAGATAGCGGAACAACCTGCCTCCAAAAGCTGTGGATGCTCCAACACTGGAAGTTTTTAAGAAGAGACTGGACAGCCATTTGTCTGAAATGGTATAGGGTTTCCTGCCTGAGCAGGGGGCTGGACTAGAAGACCTCCAAGGTCCCTTCCAACTCTGTTATTCTGTTATCAAGGAGAATCCCTATCTAAGCCATCTTGGCTTCCTGGAGAAAAGGTGGGATATAAATCTAAAAAAAAAATTAAAACAAATCGCTGAGGGGCTGAGTATCTTTTGCAGAAGTAGCAGGAAACATTTCGCAACCCAGCTGCAGAGCAAAAACAATAAAGCAAGACCCTGAGAAAAATGCAGCTTCATAGTTGCACCACGTTGAATTTAGGACTGTAGAGGTAGGAGGCACTCCTTTTCCTCCGCTCTGGCGAGGATGTTTTGTTTCCAGCAGATGTTGCCGTCTAATTATATTTTGCAAGTCAACGACACACACAAAATTACAGGAAGCTGGAAAGGCTGAGCATATCTCAGATTTTCTGGAAGGGGAAAAAGGTGAATGTTGTCGATGAGAGAAGACCATAGATAAGATAAAGCTCCAAATTGGCCCATCTAGTGTGGCATTCTTTGTATGACAAGCAGCTAAATTCTTTTTTTCGGTTGTCTGCTAAAAGACTGGCCCAAGTTCTCCCCTTCTCCTCCCTTTGTTTTCTCTCCACATTCTTTTAAAACCTGAAGCCTGAAGTCTTTTTCCCCCCCATGATGTCTGTTTCTCAAACAACACTAGGGGTCTCTGGCGTAGGACAAAGATCAAGTACAGGTAGTCCTCGACTTATGACCAAAACTGAGCCCAAAATTTCTGTTGTTAAGTGAGACATTTGTTAAGTGAACTTTACCCCATTTTACGACCCTATTTCCCACAGTTGTTAAAGGAATCTGTGCAGTTGTTCAGTTAGTAACACGGTTGTGAAGTGAATCTGGCTTCCCCATTGCCTTTGCTTGTCAGAAGGTCACATGACCCTCGGACACAACAACAGTCATAAATATGAACCAGTTGCCAAGCATCTGAATTTTGATCACATCATGAAGATGCTGCAAAGTAACTGAAAAGTAGACATAAGACACTTTTTTCAGTGCTGTTGTAACTTTGGATGGTCACTAAATGAACTATTGTAAGTCAAGGACTACCTGTAGAGCAGGGGTCTTTAAACCTGGCCCTTTTATGACTTGTGGACTTCAACTCCCAGAATTCCTCAGCCAGCGTGCCTGGCTGAGGAATTCTGGGAGTTGAAGTCCACAAGTCATAAAAGGGCCAGGTTTAAAGACCCCTGCTGTAGAGGAAGAGTGATCATCACATTTCTAAAGAGCTTTTGTGGCTGGGTGGGATTTTGACCACTAAACTTCACAGTCAAAATCTTGTTCATCCTGCATCACACTAACTCTCAGGAAAAGATAAGGGTGGTTTGAAGATGACGTCATGTGTTCCTGTCTTCCAGAAATTGGGGGGGGGGGGAGAGAACCTCATCCCAGGGCAAGGATGTGTGGATAAGCCCTGCGTGTCTAAATATATCTGACTCATGCATTTCCCTCCTGACCTTATGCTGTTACGTCTGGCTATAAATATAAATTATAAGGTTATCAGCAAATGATGTAATTGTGGTGGGCAGACATGCGATGGGGATCTTTGTGTGTGTTTATACTGGTGCCTAAAATATTATGCTTTCCCCATTTTTTATACCAAGCGTCAAATAAAAGTATTGCCAACTTTGACAACATAGAAAATCCTCAATGTCTTTCTCACCATAACTGGGTGAGAAATTTTTACAATAATGTCTTTTCCCTCCAACTGGAGATGTCAGGAGTGAATGAATTTAGGAAATTAGAGTAACAACAATAACAAAAACCTGCCTGCTTTTCCTTATTTGCTTTTAGCAGGTGATTTTGTTCTGGGCGTAGAACAGGGGTCTCCAAACTTGGCCCTTTTGTGACTTGTGGACTTCAACTCCCAGAATTCCTCAGCCAGGCATGCAGGCTGAGGAATTCTGGGAGTTGAAGTCCACAAGTCACAAAAGGGCCAGGTTTGAAGACTTCTGGCGTAGAAGCTAAGCAGGAATAGGCCTGTTTACAACTTGGATGGGAGACTACAAAAAAATCGCAGGGCTATAATGGAAAGACAAAAGAGTGAAATGGTTAATTACTTCTATATTGTGAATAAACTATAGGGCACAAATGGTGATCACATGACTCTGGATGCTGCAACCATCATAAATAAACGACGGCTGCCAAGTCCTGAATTTTGATCACGTAACCCTGGGAATGCTGCAACAGTCGTAAGTGTGAGGAGTTACTTTTTTCAACACTGTCATAACTTCAAACAGGTCCTTGAATAGATCTGTATGTCCTCCACTCTATTATGGCTTTCATTATTCTTATTGAGAAACAGAGATACAGAAAATAACAATTACGTAAGGGGCGGGCAATGTAGATAAGCTGCAGAATTCAAATTATGATTAAACAATAGTTTACCATTTATAAGATTGCAAAATCACAGGATGATCCCATGAAAGGAGTGGAAGACAAGAACCATGTGGGAACTGAAAAAATACACAAAAGGGGAGGAGTGTCACAAAAGGGGGTACCACTTAGGGGTGTCATGATAGCTATCTTCCAGTAAATAATAACAACAACAACAACAACAACAACTTTGTAAAATAAACCAAGAAACTGCAGCTTCCTGCAATAACTCCAGCAATGTTACAAAAAACTGCGCTACTCGGAACATCTTATATTTTAAGGAGATACCTGGTTGACACCTAAGATGCTGGTAGCAACCCGTGTCAACCATCCGCGCCAGCCAATTTTAATGTTCAGTTGACTGAGGTTCATGTTTAATGAATAAAAGATGATGATGATGATGATGATGATGATGATGATGATAATAATATAGTAGTAGTAGTAGTAGTAGTAGTAGTAGTAGTAGTAGTAATAATAATAATAATAATAATAATAATAATAATAATAATAATAATAATAATAATAATAATAATAATAATAATAGAGTTGGAGGTCATCTAGTCCAACCCCCTGCTCAGGCAGGAAACCCTATACCATTTCAGACAAATGGCTGTCCAGTCTCTTCTTAAAAACGTCCAGTGTTGGAGCATTCACCGCTTCTGGAGTCAGGTTGTTCCACTGGTTAATTGTTCTCACTGTCAGGAAATTTCTTCTTAGTTCTAAGTTGCTTCTCTCCTTGTTTAGTTTCCATCCGTTGCTTCTTGTCCTGCCCTCAAGTGCTTTGGAGAATAGCTTGACTCCATCTTCTTTGTGGCAACCCCTAAGATATTGGAACACTGCTATCATATCACCCCTTGTCCATCTCTTCATTAAACTAGACACTCCAGCAACTGTTCTTTATATGTTTTAGCCTCCAAGGGACCTTGGAGGAAGGAATTGGGAGTATTTCTGCTCTACAGGAGGACATGGGCCTTGTAGTTCAGGGAATCTTTAGGCCCTATCCAGTTCTATCACTCCTATTCTTCTGACCATCCCAGGCTTCAGAGGGTGTACTTCTGAAATTAGGGATCAAAGAACCAATTTGGGAGTTAAACCTACACTATGTCATGGGCGATGTGTGTGTGTTGTGTTGTGA